TTTTGAATTGAAACAGTTTATTTAGCCAGAAAAACACGGATACAGAGTCGATAATAATAACAATATTAACCTGGCTGAGCCAGTTGAGAACCTGAGCTCTCCTGTAGGCACCTGATATAGACTGTAGTGTACATTTATCTCAAGGAAGTTTTATGTAACATTTACTAACATCTGGAATAGTACAATAGCATGGTGGTAATAAGAACATCTCAGAATGTTACCACGGTTATCACTTCAATAGTTATTTATTTTATTTATTTATTATTTTTTTATTATTATTTTTTTACATTTATATTATAAGTATTATACATAAGTTACAGAGGAATTGAAAAACATAAATATAATGGGGAAGCAGTACAATGTGGGTTGTACAGAAGGAGTTTGTTCAATGATAACAGAAAATAACAATAAACTCGTCCACATGATTTTTCCCGGATGTATATAGAAAAAATTTCAATAAGTTAGTTACATTCAACATTCACACAAGCAGACGTACAATCTTTGTCACGTCATAACCTTCAGCTAACGCCACTGGATGAGTACATTATACTGTTATCATTTCAAGACACCAAGAAGAACACTTTGCCTTGTCCTACACCACTCTGAGTGCACTTTTTGTTGTGTCTCCAATAACAGCACTGGAACAGAGGCGACTTAAAAAAAAAAAAAGACTGGGGTGAATAGGCGTATCAGGATGTCTTTCCATAGAGCTGCAAACTCGGTTGATGTTTCATAGGTTTTGGCATACGCGCTGTAGCTTTTACATCTGACCACATGATAGAGATGCAACTGTGTCAGAAACCTGCAACAAAGAACAAAATTTCCCTTTGTTGGTCCGTCAGATGAGAGACGTCAGTCGTTGCATCGAGTTTGTCAAGAACGACTCCTCAGCTTAACTTTCTAGATTGGTCGACAATTGTGATCGAGGATTGTAAGATGGTCTGGTTTATTGGCTGAAATGTTGGACGGCTGAATAGCTTATTGGTTAAAATGATAGATGAGTGAATAGTTTATGAGGCGGAGCAACGCTTGCCTGAATGACTCATAGCTTCGAAATATCAATGTTGAGTTTCATGACGTACCGTTAACTACTGTGATCTACAACACCATACAGAACATAAGCTGAGATCTTAACCGAACTAGGAACATGGGATTATATTTGTGAGCGTTCTTAAGAGCAAAGAACACCTTCCACGACCGGTGCTCAAGCTTGTTCCAGCACTTGATGAGAGAATTGGACAGGTACTGGATAGACTCGTAAGTAATCCAAATGAAAAAGACAATAAACAAATGCGAAGTTAATAGTGTTTGACCTTTGCTTGCTGGATAGAAACAATAACACCGGTTCATTAACTCTCTCTACGGCGGGTGTTGCTAAGCTGTTGTGTCCATCACCTGTGTTGACGTGTTGGTCCTGTGTTTACGAATGAAGGTGTGGCTGTTGTTGTACTGTAATCTTCCTCTTTCCTCTTACTCGTTATCCCATTTTCTCTTACCTCTCTTCTCTTCCCTTCATTTCTCTTTAATCTACTGTATTTCGCTTTCTTGTTTCTTTTCATCTTTCTCTTCGTTTATCTCACTTCCTTTCTTATTCCCTTTTGTTTCCCTTCCTCTCTTTATCTTCTCTTTCTCTCTATTTCTCTTAATTTTTTCTGACCCCTCACTTTGTCATATCTTTTTATCTTGTTTTTCATCCCTCAGTTACCCTTATTTCTCTCAGCGCCCCTCACCTCCCTCGTTTTATATCGCTTCTCCTCCCTTCCCCTCACCTCTCCCCCCTCTTCTTACATCTCTTCCCCTCCCCACTCCTCACTACCTTCACCTTCCCTCGTCTCCTTAAGTTTTCATTGGTTCTCTTGTTATCATCTTTCCCCTCTCCTCTCCCTGATGTCACTTACGTCTAGGGTGTTTTGTGACCCCTCCAGCTCCCTTTCAGCACCTTCCTGGCCCTCTTCCATTACTTTCCAGTCCTTCTTCCAGTACCTTTCCAGCCCTCTTCCAGTGCCTTACCAGCATCATTTCCACCCTTCCTTCCAGTACCCTTCTAGCATCTTCCCGTCTCTTTTCCAGCACAATTTCCATCATTCCTTCGAACACCTTTCCAGCCCCATTCTACCCTCCTTTCAACACCCTTTCAGCCTCACTTTATCCGCGTTCCAGCACTTTTCCAGTCCCTTTTCAGCATCCCAGCATTCAGCAACCCCTTCCAGCACCTCTCCACTACCCGTCAGCACCTTTCCAGCCCTCCCTCAAGGATCGTGTTCATGTCATCTTGGGAATGTATATTGTGGAAGATTATTCAATAAGTCTTAAGTTACAAAAGCCAATAAATGCATTGTTTTGGGTATGTGAGGTAGGCTGTGGGTGCCTTGGGGGAATGATTACCTCTTTGACGTAAAGATTTCAAGGTCGTGGGTTCGAATACTTGAGGAAAATAAAATAAAACATTCATCACTTGACTCGGGTGAGAATGGGCACACGTGAGCGAGGGAAGAAACACCCAGATACCTAAAAAAGAAAATCGGGCTCTTATTCGTCTAGCGTAGATGTCATATATTTGGGTGAGGGAAAACGTCAGAGGTTGACTGTTCGTACTGGCGCTGTATCATATAAGTTGAGTGTTTGTAGGTCGTATTCAGTTCATATACTTCACAAGTACGGGAGATGAGCGTCGCTCCTGAGTGCTATAATGACTCTTCGAATAATAATAATTTAAGCAAAGTCCGGGAAATTACGAAAAAAATGGGCGTCACAATGATAAATTACGAAGGTGAAACAAAGTTATGATAATATAGCAACACACGGGTGATGAGGTGGCCCGAAAAACACCCAAGGCCACATCTCTTATTGTATACGAGATTCAGGATTCTCAAGGACTCATATGTTCATTTTTTTTCCTTTAAGTGAGGTTTAAAGAACACAGTCGGTTCTGGTAGAATCTTATTACAATGTTTGACTCTGTAGCTGAAGTGAGTCGGTTTTTGTGATTATTACATCTCCAGTCTAGGGAAAATTATACTTACGGAACTTGAAATATTTCCCTGTATGTCATAGGTGAAGTGAGCCAGTCATTTGCCTTCCTTTATCTCCAGTCATAGGTGAAGTGAGCCAGTCATTTGCCTTCCTTCATCTCCAGTCATAGGTGAAGTGAGCCAGTCATTTGCCTTCCTTTATCTCCAGTCATAGGTGAAGTGAGTCAGTCCACCATATCAGCACACCACTACACAACCATACTCTCATACCACCACACTACCACACAGCCATACTCTCATACCACCATACCACTACACAACCATACTCTCATACCACCACACCACTACACAACCATACTCTCATACCACCACACTACCACACAGCCATACTCTCATACCACCACACCACCACTACACAACCATACTCTCATACCACCACACTACCACACAGCCATACTCTCATACCACACCACACCACCACCATACCTCATACCACCACCCACACACTCTCATACCACCACACCACCACCACCACACACATACCACACACACTACCACACAGCCATAATCTCATACCACCACACACCACCACCACCATGCACACCACTACACAACCATACTCTCATACCACCACACTACCACACAGCCATACTCTCATACCACCACACCACTACACAACCATACTCTCATACCACCACACCACTACACAACCATACTCTCATACCACCACACCACACCACCACCATGCACTCATACCACCACACTACCACACAGCCATACTCTCATACCACCACAAAACACCACCGCCATACTCTCATACCATCACACCACCACACAACCATACTCTCATACCACCACACCACACCACCACCATTCTCTCATACCACCACACAACCATACACTCATACCACCACACCACCACACAACCATACTCTCATACCACCACACCACCAAACTCTCATTCCGTCACACTACACCACCACACAAGCACACCAGCACAGAGCCTTTTTGCGCTACCGCTCACGGGATGAGTATGGGGTGCACAATAAACTAGCTTTTGTCCGCGGCAAAATGCAGCACTGACACTCAACCAGAAAGCGGATGAATTTTTATCTGTGTGTGTGTGTGTGTGTGTGTGTGTGTGTGTGTGTGTGTGTGTGTGTGTGTGCAATATATGTCACGTTAAATGGGTAACGATTGAAAGCTGATATAACGGTAATATAATAATATTAAGGTGTTAATTATCCCCCCCTCACCTGAGTTACCAGAACCTAAAACCCCCCCTTCTCTACCACGGACTGAGGTACCAGGACCTCACAAACCTTCCTTCCTTCTACACACAAATGAGTTACCAAAACACCATAACTTCCTCCCCTCTACTGGGGCTGAGTTCCCCGCCTACCTGATGATACCCGGGTATTGAGTTACCTACCCATCATGCCCCCTGACAGGAGTGTAATGAAAGGGCGTTACCCACAGCCACAAAAAAACTAGTTTGTGATGTTTGCCCGATAGATATACGGCATCAGTTCCCGCCTCCCGTTTACTGGTAGGCAAGAAACACACTGGCGGCATGAACCAATAATAACTGAGGGGGTTTCCGGTGAATGTTTTTATTGGTCGCTTAGTATATATTTATTTTCTGTTGTAGGAGCTGGTCGTAATCGAACGAAATATCCGATTCATTGTGTTCTTTGTCACTTCATGTACCAAGCTTTTTGTATGGGGAAGCAGTAATCGAACACTTTTTTTTTCATTTTCGACCACTAGTTTAAGATTAAGATTTCCTCATTTTTATTTACTATCTTCCAGTACAGTCAGCAGCGTCCTAGGGTACGAGCAAAATGATTAGATTTTTAATCACAGTTCTCGCTGATGTCTTCAATTGCCTGTTTTTATGAATGTGCTGTTAAAGAATACCCATTTTTTCTTCTTCGTCGTCTAGTAATCAAACATTGATAAAAAGTTCATCTTAATTGCGCCAGGTATGGAGTTGAAGCAATAAATTTTAGTTCGAAATTACCCCCTTCATATGCAAATATGATGCCCAGCGTCTGAAGGTGCTCTGTGAGCACCACTATTGTCTGGAGGTGTTTTGTGAGCACCACCAGTGCCTGTAGGTGTTTTGTGAGTACCACGAGTGTCTGGAGGTGTTTTGTGAGCACCGCCAGTGTCTGGAGGTGTTTTGTGAGCACCACTATTGTCTGGAGGTGTTTTGTGAGCACCACCAGTGCCTGTAGGTGTTTCGTGAGCACCACGGGTGTCTGGAGGTGTTTTGTGAGCACTGCCAGTGTCTGGAGGTGTTTTGTGAGCACCGCCAGTGTCTGGAGGTGTTTTGTGAGCACCACTATTGTCTGGAGGTGTTTTGTGAGCACCACCAGTGCCTGTAGGTGTTTTGTGAGCACCACGAGTGTCTGGAGGTGTTTTGTGAGCACTGCCAGTGTTCGGAGGTGTTTTGTGAGCACCACCAGTGTCTGGAGGTGTTTTGTGAGCACCGCCAGTGTCTGGAGGTAGTTTTGTGAGCACCACCAGTGTCGAGGTGCTTTGTGAGCACCACCAGTGTCTGAGGAGGTGAGCACTGCCAGTGTCTGAGGTAGCCAGAGCACCGCCAGTGTCTGGAGGTGTTTTGTGAGCACCACCAGTGTCTGAGGTGTTTTGTGAGCAGCGCCAGTGCCTGTAGGTGTTTTGTGAGCACTGCAAGTGTCTGTAGGTTTTTGTGAGCACCACCAGTGCCTGCCTGTGGTGTTTTGTGAGCACTGCCAGTGCCTGTAGGTGTTTTGTGAGCAGCGCTAGTGCCTGTAGGTGTTTTGTGAGCAGCGCCAGTGTCTGTAGGTGTTTTGTGAGCAGCGCCAGTGCCTGTAGGTGTTTTGTGAGCAGCGCCAGTGCCTGTAGGTGTTTTGTGAGCAGCGCCAGTGCCTGTAGGTGTTCTTGTAGTGCCAAGCCGTGGTGCAGCGCCTAGTGCCTGTAGGTGTTTTGTGAGCAGCGCCAGTGCCTGTAGGTGTTTTGTGAGCAGCGCCAGTGCCTGTGGTGTTTTTGTGAGCAGCGCCAGTGCCTGTAGGTGTTTGTGAGCAGCGCCAGTGTCTGTAGGTGTTTTGTGAGCAGCGCCAGTGTCTGTAGGTGTTTTGTGAGCACCGCCAGTGCCTGTAGGTGTTTTGTGAGCAGCGCCAGTGTCTGTAGGTGTTTTGTGAGCAGCGCCAGTGTCTGTAGGTGTTTTGTGAGCAGCGCCAGTGTCTGTAGGTGTTTTGTGAGCAGCGCCAGTGTCTGTAGGTGTTTTGTGAGCAGCGCCAGTGTCTGTAGGTGTTTTGTGAGCAGCGCCATGTCTGTAGGTGTTTTGTGAGCAGCGCCAGTGCCTGTAGGTGTTGTAACCCATGCCTGTAGGTGTTTGTGACAGCGCTCCGTAGGTGTTTTGTGAGCAGCGCCAGTGCCTGTAGGTGTTTTGTGAGCACCACCAATGAGGTGTTCATGGATAACTGTGACAAGCAGGTGGTGTTAGAGTCTTGCCATTACCACCTGCTACAGGTGTGCTGGTGGTGATGATTGTGATAATGGTGCTGATAATGGTGGTGATGGTGATGATGGAGATGATAGTTGCTGGTAATGATGGTGATGGTGGTGATGGTGATACTGATGTTGCTGGTGATGGTGGTAATGGTGGTGCTGGTGATGGTGGTGCTGGTGATGAGGATGGTGGTGATCTGATGCTGTTGATAATGGTGGTGCTGTTGATGGTGATGATGGTGATGGTGGTGATGGTGGTGCTAGTGGTGGTGGTGATGATGGTGCAGGTGTTGATTGTGGTGCTGGTGGTTGATTGTGGTGCTGGTGATGATGGTGGTACTGGTGATGCTGATGATGATGTTGATAGTGATGGTAGTGATGGTTTTGCTGGTGATGGTGGTGTTGTGGTGCTGGTGATGGAGGTGCTGGTGATGGTGATGATGGTGGTGCAGGTAATTTTGGTGCTGGTGATGATGGTGTTGGTAATGATGGTGGAGCTGGTGATGATGGTGCTGGTAATGGTGGTGATGGTGGTGCTGTTGATGATGGTGGTGCTGGTGATGATGGTGCTGGTTATGGTGGTGATGGTGGTGCTGGTGATGAGGGTGCTGGTAATGGTGGTGATGGCGGTACTGATGATGGTGGTTCTGGTGATGGTGGTGCTGATGGTGGTGATGCTGATGATGTTGCTAGTGATGATGTTATTGGTGACTGTGATGTTGCTGGTGGTGATGATGGTGGTGATGTTGCTAGTGATGATGATGGTGGTGATGGTGATGTTGCTAGTGATGATGACGGTGGTGATGCTGATGTTGCTGATGATGATGATGGTGGTGGTGGTGATGGTGATGATGGTGCTGGTGGTGATGGCGGTACTGATGATGGTGGTGCTGGTGATGGTGGTGCTGGTTTTGATGTTGCTGGTGGTGATGATGGTGGTGATGGTGATGTTGCTAGTGATGATGATGATGGTGATGCTGATGTTGCTGATGATGATGATGGTGGTGGTGATGGTGATGATGGTGCCGGTTTTGATGTTGCTGGTGATGATTATGGTAGTGATGGTGATGATGGTGCTAGTTGTGGTGATGGTAATGATGGTGCTGGTAGTGATAGTGGTTTTGGTGATGATGGTCAGGACTTCCATCTAAAATCTATATTTTCAAAGATACGTAAGACAATTTTTCCCCTGGAGATAAGAGAACTTATACACTGAACATGATTCAATAAGGCGATGACCGAAAAATTGATTCTCAGTGGATCTTACGATATTATCCTTAAGCTGGAGATGTGGGAAGGTACCTAACTGGCTCCCTTAAGAAACGATACCAAGATGGAGACCAACAAAGCTTTGAAATCACGCTAAGACTCTACCTTGTGTAGGGTTTGTTATCTCGCCTCAGGTCCAGGCTGCCAAGAACTGATTCACTATGCCAGACTTAGTCTCAGCCCTTTCGTAAAATATTCGTCTTGGATGTAAATTTGGGCAGATAATGAAGTTTTGCTCACGGTGTTCCTCTAGGTGGCTGCACCACTACGGTGATCATAGTAATCAACTCAATTTGATTGGCGGTCGATCTTCTTCTGTCAAGTCTGGTTGAGTCAAGGTAGTGTTCCTTACTCACTGTTTTTCTTCTTATCCTCCCCGCGGCAGAGTGGATGTAGCACTCACTTCATAAGCTAACGCTCAAGTTCGAGAGGGGCACTGAGTGGGGCACCCCAGTCGACCCAACTGCAGGATAAGTACCTAACTTTTCTGCAAAGGAAGTGGAAGTTGATAGAATGTAGTGCTGGCCACTCTGTCTCCACATGTATTGAAGACTTTGCTTTCGTTATGCTTTATCCACTTGGCCTTTAAGACCCAGTTTCTCTTACACCTTCAATCATCTTGATGGATGTGTACCAATGTTTCAGTTTAACTTTCATAGACCATCACAACCAGCACAACTACCCCAACCACTACCACCAGTACAATCACCACCACAAGTACCACAAAAAACGTGGATCCTTGAAGTCACTGCCCCTTGACCTGTCGTAGTGAAGGTGATCTTCAATTAGAGTGTGTGGCGACGACCGGCCCGAGGATGTGTGTTTTATCCTGATTCACTTTACTTTAGTTGAACCCGAAAAAAGAAAAATATATCGGGCCAGAAAAACAAACATTCAGGTTTACAATAGTATCCGAAGGGCAAATGTGGAGGCCAATAAAAAGATAGGTAGTGAATTGCTATAATGTTATCATGTGTTGCTGGTTCACGGCAAAGTGGCTGTAGCCTCGTAATGACCCATCCCTAATATAGGACGGCTGATTGCCAATAAAACCAACAAGTGATATTCAATGAAGTCAACTCTTAATCTGCTTGATCATGACTGCTTTTTAGCCAGCCAAAGCTGCTGGGAGTCGCCGGGCTCACAGTTCGTGCAAATGGAGCGAGCCCGGTGGCTTATCCCCCTGGCCTCTGGCTTTAACATGGTCCGGACGCTGGAACATATATGGCTTCTCCTCTCACTTGTACTGTATTCATCCAGTATGTTAATAAGTATCTTTGTCTATTTGTTAACCTCATTACCTAGCAAATATAATGGTCAACAACAGCTGCACTGATTCTGAAATATTTATTGTCAACAACATGTCATCTCTGGCTCTCCTTCAGTCTAATACACTATAAGTAGTAGCTTGTAATGTAAGACTAGGAACTTGTTTTTCTGGTTCTCTTGTTTTCTCCGACTTCCATTACAGTGAAGAAACGTGCGAAGAAACACACATCCCCAGGGTTAACAGAGACACAAACCCTGGTGGCTCAAGATCATTTCTGTGTAATACCTACAGTAGAGCGAGAAGGTATCTCTCTGGTCTCCTTCATTGGCCTGAGAGACATACTGTACATTAGCTTTCTTAATTCCCAATGGTAGTTTCTCAGTCTATATGACAACTTAGCTGTTTTTGAAGCATTTTAACATTTAAACAACAAAAATAATCAACGACATGATTGGCCAGTCGTCGTCCTTCTCTCATATATAATCTTACCTCTCTCTCTCTCTCTCTCTCTCTTCCTCTCCCCCAGCAGTAAGTTCTCACCAGACTTCTGTTCCTCTGACGTCCAGCTCCACCCTTCCTCACCCTCTTCATCTCTTCGTAACCCCCCTTCCCTCCCCACCTCCCCCTTCCCCACCTCCCCCTTCCCCTCCCCCTTCCCCCACCTCCTTCCCCCCCCCCCTTCCCCCCCACCTCCCCCCTTCCCCCCCCACCCCCTCTTAGTGCGCTCCAGGCGACCAGGAAGGGGAGGGGAGGGAGGAGAGAGGAAGGGGAAGGGAACACCACAAAGCAGGGAGGGGGGACGGGAAGAGAGGGGTTTAGAAGGTACCATTGGGGAGGAGGGAGAGAAAAGAGGAAAGGGAGAAGAGGACACCATTGGGGAGGAAGGAGGGAGAAGACACCATTGGGGAGGAAGGAGGGAGAAGACACCATTGGGGAGGGAGGAAGGAGAAGACACCAGTGGGGAGGGTGGTAGGAGGAGGTATGTATACAATATCCTAATCCTTCCCGACCATCTATGAGTGATGATGACTCAGTACCGCTCGCCATGTTAACGTTGACGTTGATCATAATAATCAGTGGTGGGCCATAATGGCAGGTTCTCGCTGCGGAGGCTACAGGGAAAAAAACCCAGAAAGCAGCTCCAAAAGCGTAATGCAAATATTGTGATTAGGTTATCTGATTATGGGAAATAATACACAGCGGGTGGTATAATATCCACGGCCTCGACCCTCTTGAAACTTGCCTTGATATTACAGTCAGATATAATTAATGGGTTGGTAGTGGGCGACGAGTCTTGTTTTTTTTTTTTTTTTTTTTTAGAAGGTAGGAGTGTCTTGTTTATAATATATTAGTGTACGATTGCCTCCTCCTCCTCCTCCTCATCCTCCTCCTCCTCCTCCTCCTTCCTCCTCCTCCTCCTCCTTCCTCCCTTCTCCTTCTTCTCCTCTCTCCCTCCTTCCTTCTTCCTTCTTTTCCTTCTCCTCTCTCTCTCTCTTCTTCCTCCTCCTCCTCCCTCCTCCTCCCACTCCGCCATCTTTTCCTTCTCCTCCTCCTCTCCCTCCCCTCTTATTCCGCTTCCTTCTCCTCCTCTCCACCTCCTCCTTCTTCTCCTACTCTCCACCTCCTTTTCACGCTTATCCTGTTACTGCTCCTTTTCCTCCTTGTTTTTCCTCTGTCTCCTTTTTATGCTCCTCTACCTCTCTGTGTTTCTTTGTCCCTGCCTTAGCTTATAGTACACCTCTTCTTCTTCGTTCTTCTATTTTTGACATTTTCTTTTACAGATACGCTATTCCTCAAATATCCTCTTCTTTTCACTTCTCCCTCTTTCTCTCTTGTATATTCCTCCGGGTCTTCCTCTTCTTGTTACTCCTTACTCCTCCCTTCCTCTTACTTCTCTTCTTTACTCTCCTGTCCCTTCAACCCCTCCCTCCCCTTGCCTCCCCAACTTCCGCCTCATGGTGTCTGTAATGGCAACAGGTAACGTCAGGTAAAACGGGACTCACGCCTGATAGTTCCTACCCTACCCAACCCAACCCAACCATTAGGACTGACTGCCAATCCTAGGGGTTAACACTGCAGCCTTATTACAACTGGGACCTACTACAACTGGGGCCTTTTATAACTGGGGGCTTATTGATTCTGGAGCCTTTTAAGGCTAAACCCTCTGAAGACTGGGACCTATCAAGTCTGGGGCATAATAACACTCGTAATCTAGCAGTGGTTGAGTTAAAATGGAACGAAAGGAGGGAGGAGAAGGTTCACTCTGGGGTGAGTGGAGGGGAGGTTGGGCTATTCTTGGGTGAGAGGAGGCGAGGGAGAGTCATTCTGGGGTG